TCTTCTTCTTCTTTCTTCTTCCTTCACCGCAAGGAACTACTTCTTGCATTTCAATTCCTTCTATCCTGAGGAAGCCCGAAGAAGAAAATCGTGATTTCTCAACTTCTAGGAGAGCCCTTCGAAGTCTTTTTATTGCAAAACCGGGCACGGGAGCGGTTGAACAGGATGAAAGGAGGCAGTGTTTCGCGAAATGGAGGCGGGAACAGCGGTTATCGAGAAACTGCAGGTTGTGGTCGCGACCTTTCGCCATCAGGAGAGCGGGAGCTGGAGTTGGCGTCGTTTCGCAAAACATAGGAGGCGGGAGGAGCGCGGTCTCCAGCGCTAACAATGAGTAAGTGCTAAGTATGACTCATATACCATATAAGGGACAGATGCTGAAACGAAGCGGAAGGGAGCAGAAGAATTTATCCAATCAGGGGAGTTTCGTTATGTAGATTGTGGGTGCAGGGGCAACGCCCGCGCGACGCAGAGCGGTACGGTACAGGAGTAATTCTATAATTACATATTGTACTTCAGGGTTATATATATGTTTGTTTGTAACTCTAGGGCTAAGGTTGTATTCTATATTTTTTTCTGAATTGAAGGAAAGCCGTCGCTCTGCTCCCAAAGACGTAGGCATCTTTGTCGATCTCGTTAAATCTCTGTGTTCTTCTGGATTTGTGTCGATTCTTTATTTTTTTTTGCCCTAATTTCTCAACAAGCGGTATCAGAGTCAAGTTCTAGGGCAGGGAAGAAAAAAATTTTGGCGCAGGAAGAAAATTTGAGAAAAAGTTTGGCTAGGGTTCGGAATCGACAATTCGACAAAGTTCGAAGGTAAAGAGTTTTCGGCGGTTTGCGGCATTCGGATGAAGGAATTCGCGAATCGTGGGCTTCGAACAGGAAGAGGAGTTCGTGAGTTCTCAGATAGGGCTTTGAGGAGTTTTACGACAGGCGAGAGGAACCCGCGACCAGCGACCAGGCAAAGTTCGGGCTTCGGTGTTTTTGCGAAGAGGCTTCAACGTGATGAAGACGAAGACGAAACCTTCGGATGCAAGCGAGATCGCAACAACTTTGATCGCGAGAAAGCAGACGGGCTCGGGACGGCTGTGATTGGCAAAGTTCACGTAAGAACTCTGTAGCAAGGATCGGTTCGGCCAGCGACCGTGAATCATGAATTCCAACAGGAGTAGTTCACGGCAGTGGAATTCGGCGGGAGAAGTTCCACAGAAAAATAGGTGCAATTTGGCAGCTGAAGCAAGGGATTTGCAAAAAAGTTTGTTGCAGGATTAATTTAATATGACAATTTCATGTGTAAAATTTGATGTGGTGAAGTTTGATGGAACTGATAACTTTGGGTTATGACAAACAATGGTGAAAAATTTGTTGGCACAACAGTAAATCTTAAAGGATTTGCGAGCAACGAAATCAGATGTCATGGCAGATGAAAAATAGAAAGAATTGCAACAACGAGATACGCCTATGTCTGGCATATGAGGTTATGTATCACGTGATGAATCTAAAATCTTCAGGGGAGGTATGGAAGAAATTGAAAACTCAATGGTTTGAAAGCTTTATTGAGTCAGGAATTTGACATGAAAGACTTGGGTCCTATAAAGAAGATTCTTGGAATGAATATTTATCGAGATAGAGGTTCAAGTCGATTATGTTTATCTCAACGAGACTATGTTGAGAAAGTGTTGGACAGGTTTAAGATGAGCAAAGCAAAGCCTGTAAACACTTCATTGACAAATCATTTTAAGCTTTCTTCATAACAGTGTCTTAGAATACAGAAATCGAAGACATGATAAAGGTTTCATATGTCAGTACAGTTGGCTGCTTGATGTATACAATGGTATGTACTCGTCCTGATTTGGCTCATGCTTAGTCAAGTCTGCAAATACATGTTTAAACCTGAAAGACAATATTGGAAAGCAGTCAGGTGGATTTTCAGATATTTGAATGGTACTGTAGGACATGAAATTATTTTGATAGTCAGCAAAATAATCCTTCAATTGTGGGATACGTTGATTCAAACTATGCTAGTGATTTAGATGACAAAAGGTCTACAACTGTGTATGTGTTTACTCTTGGTGGAGGGTCTATGGGTTGGAAATTAACAATTCAGTCTATTGTGACATTATCTATAACTGAAGCTAAATACATGTCAATAGTTGAAGCTGTAAAAGAAGTTTTATGGTTTGTTGGACTAGTAAAGAAACTGGGCGTTTAGCAAGGTGGAGTTCAGTTGCATTATGACAGTCAGAGTGTTATTTATCTGACTAAGAACCACGTGTACCATGCGAGAACCAAACATATTGATGTCAGGTATCACAAGATCAGAGAATTGATTTTTTCTGGTGAGATACTATTGCAGAAAGTTTGTATTGATGAAAATGCAGCTGATATGTTGACCATGTCAGTTACTATCAACAAGTTCTTGCATTGCTTGAACTTGTTGAATGTTTGCAGTTACTAGACAGCATGGTAGCTCAACCCACTTCAATATGTAAGAAACTTCATGATGTATTTCTTTTAAGAATTGCTTGAACTTGTTGAATGTTTGCAGTTACTAGACAGCATGGTAGCCCAACCCACTTCAATATGTAAGAAACTCCATGATGTATTTCTTT